CTACACGTAAAACTCTGAAAGAGTAAAAGTTTTTCTTTATTTCCTTTGTAACCTAAAACTTATCCTGAACAGAACCGTTACCTTCACAGTCTCTTCATTGCCATCACATGCCTTGCGCTCAATAAGGGAATTCCCCAGGTCGATAACTCCTTCTACCTGCTCAGCTCGACCATGGACTTCATTTTCAAAGGCCTTGTGTTTCAGATATTTCCTCTGAAGGGAGAGAGGAACACTAAATTACTCCTTCATTTGGGGAAGCAAGATAAAGTAAATTATGGTTAAAGAAGGGTTAACATTTCTATGATATCAAGGTTATAGTGACTTCTGAAGGACCTGCTCCATATTACTCAGAAGTATATGACAGCAGGCACAGTAGCCTTAAGAGCAAGGGGGTAGTTCTATGTGTACGTCTTTGAGAAACCTTCCTATTGTTCTCCACAGTGGTTGTACTAATTTACATTCCCACCAACAATGTAGGAGAGCTCTCTTTTCACCACAGCTTCTCCTGCACTTATCATTCTTTTATTTTATTTATTTATTTATTTTTTAAATCTTAGCCATTTGGATGGGGGATAGGTGGTATCTTATCATGGTTTTGATTTGCATCTTCCTTATGATAAGGGCTGTTGAGCATTTTTTCATATACTTTTTGCTCGGTCATTAAAAACAAGGAGACCCTGGCATTTGATAGAAAGTGGACAAACACGGAAGGTTTACTGCTAAGCGAAGCAAGCCAGACTATGACAGAGAGGCATTATATGCATCCACTCAATGTATAAAAAATGTACATATTCAGTATATACATTCTCTATGGCAGAAACTGAAGGACTTGAAGGTATAAAAGCAGGAAGAGAAATGGTGATATTGGAGACTGTGTAAGAGGAGGGAGGGAGATAAGGGTGTGAGAGGGAAGGAATCAATGCAAAGAAGAAACAAAATATTTAAGGGATCCAAAATGAAATGAAATCTGTTGATTATAATGTGTTTGGTAATATCTTTGAACCAATATACAGTGTATTCATGATGGGAAAATTCATGATACACGGTGATTGAATGTTTAAAAAAAAAAAAGAGTAAGAGGGCATTCAGTCTAAGGGAATGACCATTCAACCAATAATCTGGGAATGGTGAAGTGTTTCAAGGTTACTATTTTGAAGTTACCTGAATATTAGTGGGATCTTTGTAGGATTCGTCACAAGCTGTAGGCAACATCTCATTGATCCATTCTTCCAACTCTTCAAGGTCATGGTAAAATTGTTTTAGGTCAGCATAATCTCCAAGCTTTGACCTCTCAGCAATCAGTTGTTCTTTCAGAGCCTTCCATCTAGAGGAGGGGGTCAGGTCACCCTCTTCCCCGTGCCCTTCCCCCAAACTCTGATATTATATCCATGAATCTTCCCATTTGCCATCCTACCCCTTTCACGCTCACACAGTCTCACTCTTTTCAGATACAAAACACAGCAGCTAAACCAAGTAATTTCTAAACTGTTTTCCACATGTTTCATTCTATACATTGTTGTCAGAAAGTTTCCAAAGGTGTCAAGATTGTGTGGTTCACAAAGCAATCGCTCAGGTCTGACCTGTCTAGGATGCGCTGGAGCCGAGCAGCAATCTCTTCCTTGGCATAGTGATCATCGGCTATGAGCCTCCCAGCAAAATGCTCTAGGTTAGTGATCTTTCCTTCCTGGATAAAGGAAAAGGAACAGGCCCAGATGCATGGAGATTAGCAGCAATTCCAGACTATTTCCCAGAAAAGGATAGAGATAGCTACTGTGGATTTAGGGCATAGACCCAGAACTAAAGCAAGGAGGTGAATTTCAACTCAAGAGAGAAAACATTTTACTGAGATGGGTTAGTTTTTGTGTGATGGTCTGTTCCCTAAAGAGAAGATACTTCCCATGGCCATTGTAGAGGATGCATCTTGTTATATTGAATTAGACAGTTATATAAAGTCACTTTCACTCCTAATAATCATGTTCTAGACTACTCTACTTACAGTAAGAAGGTCCAATTATGACATGTGACTTGAATAAGACAAATTATCTTACCTATTCCAAGTTTTATGTGACAAATGACTGTGAATCAAAATATTTGAAAATCATAAAATCAAACAAATATGTAGTATCTCTGTTATTCCTACTAGTTGTTACTGGAACTTTCTATTAGTTGTTATTACCTGGTCAGTGATTGCTTTGTCCAAATCATCTCGTTTCTTCATCAAGGCCTCCAGACTATCTAAGGAGCCTTTGTCTTCTGACCTCAGAAAATTCTCACGTGCAACCATCCAGCTCTCAATTTGATCACAGTTCCCTTGGAACAACTATGGAGAATGGAATTAGAAGCAAATGCTATTTTCATTCCAGTAACCCAGAAGAAATTATTTAAACCTTCTCCTGTTATATTGGCATATATATCCTGCAAGGGTTGTTTATATTCTCCCAGGAAATACCCACACTATGATGAATCTTAGCTATATTGGAACTTTTACTCTCCCCTGAACACACATTTCATGTCCATATTCAAACCTACCCCCAATTCTTGGAATGCAGTTTGCCATATCCTATACACAGTGGATACTGGCTGGTTATTTTTTTTAATATATTTTAACTTTATTTATTTACTTATTTAATTTGGCCAGGGAGGGACAAAGAGTGAGAAAGAGAGAGAAAGTGAGAAATCGAGCTGCTAGGTCTGGGACGTGAACCAATGTTGACCATGTGGGAGTCCAGCACCCTTAACCACCACACCACCTGCCAGCCCCTGGTTATTTCTTTAATACATGATTTTAAATGTTATCCTTCAGGGTAGCCTGTGACCCTCCCATTTTCCTTCATCTAAAGCTTTAATCATTTCTTCCTCTTTAGCCTCAAAGCATTTACATTTTGCTTTATTAAATATCATTTCATTGTACTAGAATGATCTTCTATATATCTAATTTTACTATTTAAGGAAAGCTATCTTACCATCTTTTGTGACACCAGAGCCTGCATACAGGAGATTCTCAATTAAAAACTAATTGATCACTCCTTCCATCAATCAATCACTGATTATCACCTCACTTCATCTTAGAACTGACCATTGTCTTGTTCTGCTCTTCTAACAGGAGTAAGAAGCAGAGAACACAATGATCAGTCCACAAAGCAGACTATGATGCCAGATAATCAGGAGATGCTCTTGTGTTTACAACACAGAAAGTCTCGTGAATCGAGAGTCAGTATCAGCCATATGAAATATACAAAGAGCAGGGTGAGGCTAAACTTGCTTAATAACCGGGAATGTGCTGGACCTGCAACTCCAGGCATTGGTGTAGGATCTTCTTGCGTTGTTGCCAAGCCTTCTCCAAATCATCTCTCTCTATTCTGACATCTTGAAGTTTTTTTTCTATTTCAGGACTGGCATGGTGCCCACTTTCTATAAGTTTTGCACCAAAATCTTCTAAAGCCTGGAAGGTAGGAGCCTCAGCCTCCATGTCAGCATGATGATCCTATGGAAAAAGGGGATATTCAAATTTTTTAAAATTAGAAGGTTTAGGTCATATGATCAGTGGTTTTAACTTTTGTAGCCATACCTGGTGTCGTTCCAGCAGGATCTCGGTGCCAGTTAAATCCTCAGCCAGCTCTTGGGATGATACCATGCCACTAATGCCACTGATCCAATTCTGCAGGTCTCTAGAGAAATAGACACAGTGAAGGTCACCAGAAAACCTTGCAGCTTGCTACGGGGCTGTCTGCCCACAGCTTTCCCTTCTCTAGGAAATATTTCCACAATACCATCTTCCTTCTGGATTTATGTACTTCACAGATCTTAGGTCTGCTGTTTTCATTGCATCACTTAATGACAGCAATCCTTTAGATCTGAAAAATCTCCTTTCATATAGTCTCTTTAGATTCCTGCAATAATCCTAAATTCTTCTGTTTTCATTCAGAGATGAGGAAGTCAGCCCACAAAAGGTAAATATTTTGCCCACATGGTACAATTAAAATGTAGACATCTAGACTAGAAGCCAGACCTCCAAAATCCTGGACTAATTATGCCATTGCTCTTTGTATTTTTTGTTCCTCCAATGAGGCTTCTGGGAATTAAAGATAGTATCTGTATATCTAAAACTACTTATATCTGTGTCTATATACTTTTTTTGAGAGAGGGAAAGATTTTTGCTGTAGGGCATGTTCACTTGCCAGAGAGACAGACAGTGAGAAATTACCCCCCAGGGGGGATGCCACACCCCAGTCCCTTCTCCTCCATCCTCCTCTTGGGCTCGTACCTGGCATGAGTTTTAAGCCACTGAGTCTGGGTCGAACTGCTGATGCCTACGTGGGAGTCCAGGAATGCAACCATTATGCCATCTGGTCTCACTTTTTTCCAAACTTCAGTATTTTATGGCTTAAAGTATTAAACCTGAAATTTTTATGCCTTATCATAGATAAGACTTGGACATAGTGATGTCTTCAAGACTCAGTGGTGAGAAGGATCTATACTCAGATTGCTCCAGTGATAAAAATTACCCATTCCACCTGCAGATCTGTCTTTTTAGATTTACCTGGCCTTGCTGAGGAATAGGTAGAATTTATGGGCCTCATTCAGGTTCTCCTTACGATCCTCTGTACGACCCTGCAGGTCAACCCAGGCCTCATTCAGTTCCACTCGCTGTCTCTGAAGGTCCTCAGTGGCATCTGGATGGGATTCAATGAGCCGCTCTGCTGTCTCCTCCAATATAGTCACCTGGAAATGTGTAAGAGCTCTGATAATCAGCCTAGAGTTCCACCTGAATCTTAGCAAAAGAAGAGTCCTGAGTTCTGTATTTATCTTCCCAAATAGACATCAATGGTATACAAACACATATTAATACTTTAGATAATAGTATCAACTTTTTGGTCCACATGATAATTTTCCACAGCAGTCAGGACTGATATCACCATACTTCTTTTTTTTTTTTTTTTTTTGAGAGGATTTTTTTTTTTTTTGCTATAGGGTGCGTGCGCTCGCCAGACAGACAGAGACAGAGAGACAGAAAGCGAGAAATCACCCCCCTCCCCAGGGGGGATGGCCACGCCGCAATCCCTTCTCCTCCATTCTCCTCTCTTGATCTTGATCTTGGGTACACACGCACACGTGCCTGGCATGAGTTTTTAAGCCACCAGGTCCAGACGTTAACCGTGGTCGACTACGTGGGAGTCCAGAGACATAGCCATTACGCTAACTGCTGGTCCCACCATACTTCTTTTTTTAAGATAAGAAAGTTGTAGGGGAGGGTAGTTAAATAACTCTGGCAGTTGGTAGCCACATAACTTAGGAAACCCAAGGATTCTGTTTCTTCATGAAAGGATTTTTCCACATAGCTTCTTTTTTGCATTGTATGATAACCCTAACCTGAAGGGTGTTTACGACTATATCTGGCAAGCTCCAGCATTCACTTTCGGTTTGGGATAAAATTAAATTTACTAAATTCCTGACTGAGGAGACATTACACTACACTCAGGCACAGGTTTGCTATCTGAGAGCAGATATTCACTATTTCCTCTAGGTCACTTATCTCCAATGGTCACTTGGAATCCACCAAAGAGACAAGGGAACACAGAGTACTCACTTCAGTATGTTTTTTCTCCCATGTTAGTGATCATGGGGCATACCTTATAGTTGTCTTTCATTAGGGTAAGAACAAGTAAAGAAACAAGAGAGAGAGATTTAAGAATAAGGCACTGGGAAAGAGAACAAAAGAAGGGACTTATTTTTCTTTCTTTCTTTCTTTTTTTTTTTTTTTTAGAGAGAGAGATTTTTGCTATAGGGCACGTGTGCTTGCTGGAGAGACAGAGAGAGACCAAATGCAAGAAATCACCCTCCCAGGGGTGATGGCCATACCACAATCTCTTCTCCTCCAGTCTCTTGGGATTTTGGGAACGCATGCACGCATGCCTGGCTTGAGTTTTAAGCTGCCAGGCCCAAGATTTGAATGACAGTTGACTATTTGAGTGTCCAGCAATGTAACCATTCTACCTTCTGCTGGTCCCAAAAGGGAAATTTGTATAGGCATATGCATGGGGAGAGAAGTGTTGGAAAAGTTTGGAAACATGTGTCTCACCTTTTCCCCCAGGGGTATGAGATCTCTCTCAAAGCCCTCATGCTGTCGCTGAAGGGTCTGAACACTGAACAGGTCTGAGCCAGGGTCTGCTACACTGAGGGCCTGGCACTTCTTCTCAATCTGCTCCTTTGTGTCATCTGCTTCTCTAGTACCATAGAGAGTAAAGAGTTTAGGAATAAAGATATACCAAGGGCAGACTAGCAGGGCTCATGAGGAAGTCATCACTACCAGTACCATGACAACCACCACCACCACCACGACCACCACCATGTTCATGCTTAGACGCATGTCAGCTTCATGACTCTTGGAAGCACATTTACTACCATTCCCACTACACATAGCAGAAAACTGAGGCCTACAAAGGATAAGTATTTTTTCAAGACTACACAACTGCTAAATGGTGGCACCTAACTTGCAACTTCACAGTCTGACTCTAGAGCCATAAGCCTAACTATGATATTTCACAGCTTTCCATCTGAAGCTATTCTAAACGGCCACATCCATGTGAGGCTCAGTTTCCCCTTTCCCTGCATCCTGTTTTTTTTTTTTTTTTCTTGTTATATGTGTGTATTAGTATAGACATGGGTTTGGGAATCTGACAGCATCAATGGGATATTTGTTCCCCTCTGCATCTGCTTCTAGTTCAGAAATGTAATTATTTAAATCTCTAGTTTCAACTTCAATTTCCATTCACTATCATGGAAACATATACTGACTACTAATTATGTACCAGGGCCCAAATCTCAGTCCTAGAAAACTGAAACAGATGAAAAGTCTCCTATATGTCTAATGAGGATGCTACTACTGAAAAGCCTAATCTCACATTAGCACATTGTCTCCACTGAAGGGTGATTATACTATGCTAGTAGCTATGGTCATATCATAGTCATTAAATGCTTGAGTACTTGTAAGCTGGTTCTGAAGTAGCACTGGTTTTTTTTTTTTTTATAATTAAATTTCTTACCTGTTAAACATCTGGACAGCATGGGCACTGCCCAGCAGCTGCTTCTGTTCATCTGCAAGCCTCTGCAAGGAACCCCAACGGGCATTCAATTCCTAAAAGAGGTAAACATGTCAGAATTTAGACAAAGAGCTAATTCAGGTAACTCGGTGATGTCTGAAGGCTAAAGACAACTTAAGTCTTTATTATTTTCATGTTATCTCCTTCAGAAACTGTAAAACTTTACTTCTTGAATAGTTTGAGCTTGGGCCTCATTTATGCTCATGCAATTGAAAAAGGGATTTATTTTCTCCCCAAACTGATGTTTCAGAGTGGAACCATCAACCTTGGAGCAGCCATTGATGCTTGCTTCCACTGAGACTGCATTATAGTCTCCTAAAAATAAGTGGAAAGCATTGCCTTGATAGTTAGAAGCCATTACATCTCTCTAGGACAATATAATACTCAGGTCTGCATCCCAATTAAATAAAATGAATAGGCTATCAGGGCCCTACTTTCTAAAGCAGAAAAGGATTTGTTATTCAGCACATCTTTTTACCCCATAACAGCCACCACATCAAAAAAGAAAAAAAAAAAAAAGACAGAGAATTCATCTTCACTAGATTATGATAACTCAGAGACCAAGAATGGACATTTCATTGTGGAACTATCTCTCTAGATCTGAATTAGGTCTAGAATGCCCCCTCTCTACTAATCTATAGTCTTCTCCTCCCTCTTCTTTTTTTCTTTCCTTTTTTATTGTCAAAGGGTACATGTGCTTACCAGAGAGAAAGAGAGGTTAAGAGAGAGAGAAAGAACTCTTCAATGGAACCTGGTCACTCCTCCATTTCCTCATCCTATTAGGACTTGGGGCACACAAGCATACATGCTCATCATGCTCTTCAAGCTGCAGGGGCTGGGATTAGAACTGCAGTTGGTCATGTGGGATCTGATTCCCAAAGCACAGCATGCAACTTCTGTGCCATGAGGCTGTCCCTCTTCTTTCTCAGTATGCTTTTCAGAATTCATTTCTCCCAGTAAACTTTCTTGACTAACCTCATCTTGCTAATTTTATCTGTATTTTCTATGCATTTATATGCTCAGACATTGAATTTATTGTGTGCATGGGTTAGTAGTGAAGGGAAGGTGTATATCCATTGCAATTTAAGAATTTTAGGTTAGTTCAATGTATGTATTCTGAAAGTTCAACTCAGAAGTTGCATATCTATGAAAAGCATAAACTTTGTGTTCAATTTGATAACAGTACAGAAAATTAGAAGGAAATTTAGAGATTTGTGTTATCTAACACTCTTGCTTTTCATATGTTAAAACTGAGTTCTTTAGATAGCTTTTCATATGTTAAAATTGAGTTCTTTAGAAATGAAGTAATTAGCCCACAGACAGTCACACAGGGCTAGAACTGGGACTTAAGGCCAATTTTCCTGATGTCCTGTGCAATAATACCACCTAAAGTTTTTAAGGCTGCCTCTTAACACTAAATCTGAATTTCTGGTCCCTATACTTTTGTCTCCCAACTCAACCTCCTCAAAAATACTATGGAAGAGCACAGAGGACAAGCAACAGATGTTAATATAAGAACCTGTTTTAATTAAGTTCATTTTGACAACAAAAATGTATGGACTATTTGGACTAATGTCTTCGGCTTTTCTTTTAGCCAATTTCATACTGTCATTTCCTCCGCATGTCCTTGCTGGTCTGTGGAATATAAAGTTCAATTTGTTGAAGTGGAATAATCACTCTGAAAGCCCAGCCTGATAGTGAAGGGAAATGAAAGGAGCCTTAGTTACCTGACGCATTTGAGCTCCTTCTGGTGTTAGAAGTCTTTCAAATAGTAGATCATCAGCCACTTTGTTGATATCCCTTAGTCGAGGCTCATTGGTCTTCAAGTCCTGAAAGGGAACATTTGTCCAGAGCATTGTAAATCCTCTTTGTAAGAACCTACCACACTTAACTATCTATTCTGCCCTTAGTTGGTTAAATATGAAAACATATTGCTAACTTCACTTGCAATATTCAACAAGCTGCCCTCCTCCACCTTGCCACTGAGAAGAGTGCTCTTAAAGACCCTTATGCTGATGGCTATCTGAAGCTTATGAAGAGAATTATTTAGCTGGAGTATGAAGCATATCTATTTTGCTAGCGTTCTTAAAATCTTCTGTTCAATTAAGTGATGCTATTGGAAGGATCTATACTTGACTTTTGCAATATTATTTTCTATCACTACAAACAACTTCATCTCTATATAATTTCATTGACTGAGTTCCAATCTGCTTGCATTATGGGATGTTTGTTATAAGAAACAGCTCTAGAGAATTCACTATGTGTGTGTGTGGGTGTGGAGGGGGATGTAAAGTCTTCAGAAAGATCCTGAAAAACATGTACTATACAAAAAAGTATTGAAACTTTCTGCACCAAAGTATACATGTAATTTAATTTCATTTTCATAAACTTTTAGAGCTGTGTGTGTGTGTGTGTGTGTGTGTGTGTGTGTGTGTGTGGGTGCACACGCACGCATGCATCCTTGAATTCTATTTGGAAAATACTATTCTTTTTTTTTAAAAGTAAAGATGTTACACTTACTCTAGTCAAGATTATAGAATAAATTTGAGAGAACAGAGAGTGAAGCATTTTAGGTAAGAAAAACTTAGAAACTCTCTGGCTTTAAAGTTAGGCCAACCCTCACCCAAATCTTGGCCCCATTATTAGACTTCATGCATAGTCTCATGACATCCCACCTCAATCTGAGCATCAGGGACACAGTATGGCACACAGCACATTTTGACAAATTCAAGGAGACCAGAAGTCCCATCAGGATTTTTGAGAGATAGAGACTACAAAGTTAGGATAATTAGTTTATTCTGAAATTCTGTCATATTACTGACAACTGAAAAATACAATACTCACTGAAAGATATAACCTGTGCAGCTCTCAGCATAGTAGGGGAGGATGTTAAATGGGTGTGAAATACATTAAACCATCATGAAGGAGAAGATAGGAGATAGAAGGAAAGAATGCAGCCCCGAAAATGTATCTAGAGAGGGTTCCTCTTTCTCACCGTCTGGAATTCGTCAAACTTTTTCTGCAACTCCCAGACATCATCTAGTTTCACCCCAGTGTTTTCTGCCTTTTTCTCTCGGATCCAGTCCAGCATGTCTCCTGCCTCATAGGCCAGCAAAAATTCATTGTAACGTTGCAATAGACGACGTCTGCGTTCTTCTGCCCGATCGAGGAGGGAACGGTACCTGGGAAGGAAGCCAAGAGAATGGGAAAGTGGAGTGTATGAGGAAGGAAACAGAGCAGAGTATTCTCACAGGCAGCGTGAGAGAAGAAGAGAGTGAATGGAATAATAAAGAGATGAAGGGAAAACAAAAATTAGATCAGCAAAACAGAGGAGAAAGAAGATGGAAAGAAAAAGGGCATTGGAAGCAGAGACAAACACATAGTATTATATTTAAAAAATATAAAAATATCAATGGCCCATGAGTATGGCTAGCCAAATCCCTTCTCCATTCTGTAAGTGTGAAGTTTTCACATGCCAACAGACGATTGGATATGTAACCGCCCAGTAGAATAAACAAAGTTCATACGGGCGTCTGGACACTTTTTAATAACCTTGAAAGGATGCTGGGCAGGGTATCAGAAGACATCTCTCTGTTAAATGTCTAACCTCAGGCAATTGACTTACTGGTTCTGAGGTTCCTTTTCCTTATATAAAAAGCAAATGGAGAGGCCAGCAGGCGATGTAGTGGTTAAGGCGCTGGAGTCCCACATAGCTGACTGTGGTCTAAGTCCTGAACACTGCAGCTTGAAATTCATGCACCTGCATGTCCAAAATCCTTAGAAGAGAACGGAGAAGAGATTGTAGCATGCCATTCCCCGTGAGGGGTAATATCTTGCTTTCTGTTTGTCGGTCTCTCTGTCTCTCTGGTGAGCCCACGTGCCCTATAGCAAAAATTTCTCTCTCTCAAAAAAAAAAAAAAAAAAAAAAAAGAAAATTCCTTGTAGTTCTCCAGCCTCCAGAACTTACTGGTTCTCGATTTGCTCTTGCCGCTGGGTGATGTTGCCTGGCTCTTCCCGCCGTCGCCGTGGGAGTGTCGGGAACTCATCATAGGTCAGTTTCCTGACATAGACAGCAGGGACAAAGCCCTGGTGATCATCAGCTTCAACCTTCCACCAATCCTGAAAGGGGAGCACACACCCCACTCCTTCCTTAATTACTGGGAAAACTTTAAGCAGGAGAGACTTTAAAGCTCTCATTGCCACGTATCTAGGCCCAGACACAGGTGTATAGCCAAGAGAAGCTGACCATAACTTCTGAGCACCATATAGTTTTGACATATTACAAAGAAGGCAAGTGAGGAACTATTGGAATTGCAGAGACAAATCGCTAAAACCAAATAATCTGATATTTGATTTCAGACCCTTAACTCTGGAGAGGTTTTCATGAACCAAAGAGCTCTTCTAATAATGGACCCTTTGGTGACCAGGAATTTATAAAAACAAACAAACAAACAAACAAAAAAACAAAAAACAAAACCACGCTGGATATTTGCCTTCAGGGGTGGAGCACCTGTGTGTGATAATATTGTGAGTTGCACTGAAACTCATTTCTGCAATTTCTTTCTTCTCTCTCTCTCTCTCTCTCTCTCGTTCTTTCTTTCTTTTTTTTTTCTTTTATTGGAGAGGTTTTTGCTATAGGGTGCTTGTGCTCACCAGACAGACAGAGAGAGACAGAGAGACAGAAAGCGAGAAATCACCCCCTCGGTGGGATGGCCACGCTGCAATCCCTTCTCCTCCATTCTCCTCTCGGGGGGATCTTGAGCACGTATGCACATGCACCCAGCGTGAGTTTAAGCTACCGGGTCCAGGACTCGAACCGCGGTTGACTATGTGCGAGTCCAGTGACATAGCCATTACACTAACTGCTGGTCCCTCTCGTACTTTCTTTTGAAGTATTTCTGGAGTTAGTTTATGCAGAGAAAAATATGGTCAAATGAGAAAGCTTAATGCCCAGGCAAAGAGTAGGGAGATTGGCACAGCTTTATTTGGTAATGAAATGGCTCCCCCCAAAATTCACTTATCTTATGAGTAACAATATCCCAGTCTCTCTTCTTATCAAGGACTTTTGGAAGTTAATTAGGTATTAGAGTATAAAAAATTAATTGACTTTTTTTGTCAAAAATAAGTAAAGACTTTAAAAAGTCTGTTAAAAAATGGAATGAAAGGATTAGCAGATGGCATAACAGTTATGTCACTGTACTCCCACATGGCTAATAGCAGTTCGAGTCCTGGACCCAGTGGCTTGAAACTCATGCCAGGCATGTGTGTGTGTGCGTATCCAAGGTTCCCAGAGGTGAATGGAGGAGAAAGGATTGCGGCATAGCCATCCCCCCTTGGGGGTGATTTCTCACTTTCATTCTCACTGTCTCTGTCTCTTTCTCCAGTGAGTGCACACACCCTAATGCAGAAACCTCTATAAAAATTGAATTAAAATATGAACACATTTTGTCACAAAAATCTTTTGAAATCCATGTATATGTTTTTAAATAATATGCATTTTCCATGAACTCTTTGAAGACTTCCTCATGTATTAAAAATCCTCATCAATATTCTATAGTTCTCCTAGGCACAAGTCTTCAGAAAATTAAGTTGACAAAAGACTTGTCTTTATCAAGATCTTTGTAACCATAAGCATTGTTGTTCCATCACTGAAAACACTGGTACAGAAGAAGGAAAGAGATGAGAAGAAAGGGACAATTTAGTCCTGTAAAATTAGCTTAGAATTACCACTTACACCTTGTAGGTCTTTGGGCTAATAACTTAAACCTTTTGAGTCTTCAATGTTTTAACTGTAAAATTGGGATTATAATTTCAAAATATATGTATAGGCTTTTATACCATATTTGAAGAAAAAATTCAATAAATTATATGAGATAAAGTGGCAGAAAAATATTCAGTGATAAAAATATGAATATTGGGACCAGCAGATGGAGTAATAGTTACATTGCTGGATTCCCACATAGTCAACTGCAGTTCAAATACCAGGCCAGGCAGTTTAAAACACACCAGGTTTGTGTGCATGCATGCCCAAAATCCCAAGAGGAGATTGGAGGAGAAGGGATAACATTATGGCCATCCATCTCACAGGGTAATTTCTCACGTTCTGTCTCTTTGTCTCTCTCTTTCTCTCTGGTGAGCACACGCAGCCTATAGGAAAAATCTCTTTCTAAACACACAAAAAATAAATAAATAAAATAAAAATAGAAATATATGGCAGGGTTGGGAGAGATGGCTGAAGAACACTGTCTTTGTGGAAAGGTGAATGAAAAAGTCACCTTGTTGATGGAACTGAGCAGAGTTAAGACGTCATCTTTCTTCATGGTGACTTCTCGAGGGCTGCGGGCCTGGAAGTCATATAAAGCAATGACTCTTTCCTCTAGAGCAGCTCCTTCTACTGGTGTGGCTTGTTGTTGCTATATAGAAACAGAAAGCAAATATTTGCAACACAAAACGATGACACACATTCAAGGTGGTGGATGTGCTTAGTACCTGATTTGCACACTACATAGTGTATGCATGTCTTGAAAAAAACCCACTCTGTGCCTCATAAATATATACAACTAGTATATCTCAATTAAAATTACAATAATAATAAAGTCAAACAGGAATAGATGTTAGTCACCCTTTGATAATATCTCCCTGTAGAGCATACCAGTGGTGGATAATCCTTGAGGCTTCACGGCAGAGAATAACTTCTGGCTGAAGCCTCCTACATGGCTGCCAGGGATTAAAATTATGTTGCCTTCAGAGATACTGCTTCACTGTACTACTTAGCAGGGAGAAGAGGGCCCGGAGCTGAGAACTCAGACTAAACAAGTAAACATGTAATCTGTCGGAAATGCTGAATGCTCTAAGACACTAGCTCTTTCAGTGAGAAGAGCAAGATGTGTCTTTAAGAAGGTCTAAAATGAATAGACACATCATCATTTCAGAAAACTGGAAAAGTCGAAGACTCAGTCTGTTGCTACCCTCACCTTTCCCTGGGCCTCCATTCACAGGCCTCCCTGTCCCACCTCCAGCTTCTAATTCACAATGTCAAGGAACTCTGAGTGCTGATCTTCAATACAGAAAGCCACAGAATTTGAGAATATAAACTGAGATTACTAAAAATACCTTATGTCTCTCTTAAGCAAGCAACCTGATTGCCAAGGCAGAATGTTCTGTTTTTTATTCTCTGAAAACAGTGTATCTTTGAATAAATAAGCAAAATATAACCCCTCTTGGTGAGCAATGACCCATCCCTCAGATTGGAGTTAAAGTATACTTCCTTTTACAGATCCCTCGGATTTCATATTTCTTTTCTCTAGCACATGACATATGAATGTAGTTGTTCTCATTTAGGCTCCCCTGTGCACAGCAGAGCTGCTCTGAACACGTATTTGACTCACCGTGCTTATCTATGTCCTGTGTCTATGCACAGTGTGTAAATTCACAGTCTGCCATTAGAAAGAAGTCTTTGAGGGACCAGCAGTTAGTGTAATAGCTATGTTGCTGGACTCCCATGTAGTCGACCGTGGTATGACTCCTAGACCTGGTGGCTTAAACTCACACTGGGTGCACGTGCATGTGTACCCAAGATCCTGAGAGGAGAATGGAGGAGAAGGGATTGCAGCATGGCCATCCCCCCTGGGGAATGATTTCTTACTTTCTGTCTCTCTCTGTCTTTTTGGCAAGTGCACATGCCCTGTAGCAAAAACAAAAAACAAAAAACAAACAAAAAAAACCCTCTCCAAAAAAAAAAAAAAAAAAAAAAAGAA